ACACTGTAGAAGAGTATCTAGGAAAGGCTCAAGAGGCTCTAAAGCACTTAAAAGTAATTATTAAATGGATTCTATTTGCTTTGGAAGGATTTTAATCGGCGAAACGCCCGGAGCTGGGAGGAGGATCCCAGCTGTGTCCCAGGGGGGTCCCCACAGGGTGAGAACCCCCTTAAAAAAAAAAAAAGAAAAGGAAAAAAAAAAAAAAAAACCCTCATGGGGCTTGAAGGAACCGGAGCGGGTGGCCAAGCCAAGAGCCCGGGGTCGGTGCCAAGCACCAGCTCCCTCCTCCCAGTCGGCCACGGTCAGATGATGTGCGAGGCGAGCCGGGAGGCTCCTAGTCTGGCAGGCAGCCTGCTCTGCTCCAGAGGCTCCAGTGCTGTCATCCTGGCATTAACCCCTGATAACCTTGTCCTTTCCAGGACGGGACTGTGGTTTTTAGGTAAGCAAGGAGCAGGAGGTCATGTCTCACAGTGAGGCTGGGAAGGAAAGGGTGCAACGCCCTGCGACGCTCAAAGCAAATTAAAAAATATTAGAACGACGTAAGCTCAAAAATAAACCAAAAATAAGTGACTTAAAGAAAAAAAAATTCCCAAGCAATTGTTTATCCCTGGGACAAATATACAATCTTAGTTCCACAGGAAGATGTCTCAATTTCGGATTATAATAGGATGCCAATTTGTAAATAAAGGCATTTCACAGGAGGTTATAAACTCCGTAGGGGAGGGAGGTGGAAGTAGAGGGGACGGGAAAACACAGGCAGGGCTCTGGCGGAGAAACAGCACAGGATCCTGTTTACATGGGCAAGGGGAGAGCAACGGGAAGCCGCTTTGGGGGGCAAATATCTCCGGATTTGGACAAGGTGCTTCTTCCCCATCAAGCAGATACCAGCAGGGATCAGAGGCATAGTGAAACATTCCCGGCCTGTCCGCAATTTTGGAATGAAATGTCAATCAGCCAAGAGGTCCCTTAAACCAGACAAGGTCCCACAGCACAGAGAGCCAGAGTAGGGAATGATGCCAATGCTCTTCCAGCCTGGGGAAGTCCTTTCCCTGCTTTTTTGGTGTGGAGTTGGGAGGGAGAAACTGAGTCTGTGCCTGCCACAGAAGAGCCTTGTTGGTTTCCCAGCCTCAAGGCTTTCAGAACCTTGAATCCAGCAGCCATCAAGCATCATCACTCAACATTCACTGGCTCTTAAAGACCCTGAGGTGCTTCCAGAGTTTGGGCAAATCGGCAGAATTGGGCCAAAACCTGGATAACCTCTCAAGTTTGATACTTTAGCAACAACCTCTATAACAAAGCAGTGGATTTGGAGAGGACACAAGCCAGCTCAACTTGCTCTCCCTCTCTGAGGACAAGCTCTGGACTTCTTGAGAGCTTTGCTTTGCCAGCAGATCCATCACTATTCACCTGTCCTGCTGGAGAGCCACCTCCTCACCCACCATGGGCACCACAGCCTTCCACCAGCAGAGAGCCACCAGCCCCACGCCACACACGGGTCAGGACAGGGATGTCCAGGGCTGGTGGATCACATTCCACAGAGACCCAGCACCACCAAACACCACCAGCTCACTTCTACTCTTGGAGCAGGGTTTCTCCATGGGTCATCCAGGAATTTGGCTCCCACCAATCTGATGCCACCAAACCACGGGCCAGCCACCTCCAGGCTCTCCAAGCATGGCTTTGCTTGTTTGAAAGAAGTCACAACCAAACATATCTGCTGAGAACAAGTCAGCTCAAAATACAGGAAAACCACCCTCTGTCTCCTATTTACGGGAATTATTTTTATCTCCAATGGGATATTTTTGCTCTTTAACCACACTGAGGACAGAAAGGATCTGGCTAGTAATACCAGTAAGTAAAATAGTAATACCTGAGCACAGCCGTGTCAGTGGGAGAAAACGTGAGCACGGAGTCCTGACCTACCCACAGGCTGACCACCGATAAAAATAAAGATGATATAAGAAAATAAATAAAGCCAAGAATACAGGAGCGAGAGCCAGTGCCCTGGGGCAAGCAAGGGGCACAGCAGACAGAGAATGGGATGGCTGGGGAAGAGAGAGCAGAGGAGGGATGAGGACACCAGCATGGTGTGAAGGACTACCCAGGGTTGCATTCCTGGGTTGCAAAGAAGAACAGAAAGAAGAGGGAAGGAGGGAAGGACGGAAGGAGGGAAGGAGGGAAGGAGGGAAGGAGGGAAGGAGGGAAGGAGCAGCTCAGGGCAGTTATCACAAGGGGGAAACACTCCCTGTGCATCCCCCGGCCACGCTCGCCCACCACACATCCTCCAGAGCCTCTGGTATCCATCAACACAACTGCCTGCAGCCCCAGTAAGAGACAGACCCCAGCAGTGGCTGATCTGAGACTCCTCCTCATCAAAGGCTCCTCGTGGAGAGCTGCAAGGACATTCACTTTGAGCCCCTTCAATGCTCCCCTTGCCACCATCCTCTCAACCCCTCCACACATTCCCCTGCTGGAGTGGCCGTGAATCCCAGGCTAGCCCCATTCCCAAGTTCTCATTGCTGAGAGTGCTCTTCCTCACCAAATCCTACTCTTTAAGACGTCAGATCAGGTTTACTGACCCTGCTGCTACACCAGCATCCACCACACCTCACTAATGACCAGAGGCTGCAGTGCTGCAGAATCCCAGCACCACCAACAACCACCTGTGATGTCTTTTTCCTCACACCCCCACTGCAGTTTCCAAATTACCAAAATAATTTTTTTTTCCCACCCCCTTTTCTTAAGCCATCCTTTCATCAATGAGCTGCAAATCCAACACGTATAGGTCTGGAGGGGATGAGGGATGCTGGATTCTCCACCCAGCATCACCCATCCCTATCTGCCCAAACACAGATAAGACCAAGCCAAAGCGCTGGCCATGTACCCTGCCAATAACTCATTAAAGCCCTCTTCAAACACACTCTTCTGCTAACTAAAATATGCAGGAGGGGGTAAGAAAAAAAGGAGGAGAAAGTGAGCTTTGGAGGATTGCTCCAAAGTGCGTTTATTTTCCTTTCTTGACTGGGTCTCTCCAGTTGGGAATTTTCAGCACTGCACTTCTGCGCGCAGAAGGGAGATGCCAGTAAATCAGAGCAAATTCAAAACAAATGCTCTTTCATGTGGAGGCATTCAGGGCTTGGGTAGCTAACCATATCCCTTCAAGAGTCAACTCTCCTATCAGCTCCTCATTAAACTAAATGGCTACAATTACATTTGGGGAGGAAAAAAGAGTGGTTAATGATCGTAAAAAGGTTCTGTTTCCAGGCTTGGGGAGGGGGGGGAAACTTCGATAAGGGAGAGAAACCCAAAAAAAGAGTTAAACCCAACGAAATAATAACAATATAATAAAGTAAGTTAAAAATGTACTTTCAGGTGGAAATGTGCTTTCATTTGGGGAAGAAGCTCAATTAAGGAGCTAGGGGTCCCCTTCCCGCAGCCCTTTGGGAGGCACCAGGAACGAGCCATGTTATTTCCTGCAGCCAAGCCCCCACCTCCTGCCTTCCCTTCGGGAGCAGAGCTGCCAGACGAGATGTTATCAATAGGCTGAACCTTACAGAAAGCCCCCTTTTAAAAGCGAGTACTTCCTCTGCTTATTTCATGTGGTATCCTGTGGAACTGAACTCTCTCCTCCCCTCTGTTACGGGTGTATTTCAGGAGGAAAAAGGAAAAAAAAAAAAAAAAGAAAAAAAGAAGAAGAAAAGATCTAACAACATCCTTATTGTGTTGTTTTGCTTCTTGTCTTTTTTTTTTTTTTTTTAATTCCCTGAAGCGATAGGCTCCAATGGTAAAAAAAAAAAAAAAAAAAAATTAAAAAAGCAAATCCTTCTGCCTTAAGAAAAAAAACCCCAAACAGCAACAAGTTTTCCTGTTCCCTCTCCCCCTACGTTTGATTAATTCTCATTAGGGCCTTTGAACAAACAATATGCTCCCCTCTCAAATAACAGACAGGGTATATATTACACCCAAAGAAAAACAAACAAGGCTCACTTAAAGACATCACATCCACACCAAACGCAGTTCCTGGAGAGAGGCAGGGGCAGATGCGTGCGCGCGTGCAGCCGCCGCCGACCTAATTCTGAATTCCAGTTTCAGGGTGATGAATAAATCATAAATCAAGGAGACATCCCCACAAAGGCAAGCACCTTCAAACATCCGCCTGTACCTGCAGGTACATGGTTTCAGACACTTTAATCCTGGTAGAGACATTGAGGTGGCCAGTCTGGGATGGGACATGAGGTGAGACATCACACCTTGGAAATGGGGTTGGGAGTTGGACTAGATGACCTTCAAAGGTCCTTTCCAACCCAAACCACTCTGTCTCTATGCAGACTCCAAGAGGGATGGGTAAAGTACCTGAACAAGCCTCCATCCTGTAACTGCAACTGGAGGCTGAAGGGGATGGCAAAACAATGGAAATCACTGAATATATCAGGAAGGGATACAAACACATCATCAATTCTCTCTGCAACATCCTCTATAAAAAAATAGGCCACCTTTCCTCCCCAGGCATGAGCCTTGTACATCAGATGGGGGATGCTGGTGACCTTACCAGGAGCAAAATCTGAGCAGGGCTCTTATCCCAGAGGCAAGAGACGCCCTCACCACCAAGTCAAGGATTTGACACCAAATCCTTCTTTAAGGTATGACTGCACCTGCTCCCATAATCCACACAACTGAATGGTCAACCAACATTGCTTAGTCTTCTCCTGCCTCAGTTCTTTTGCCTCTTCTTGCCTTAGCCCAAAAATGAATGGAACATAAGGCTGGAATTCAAAGGAAATACAGGCATTCAGGGACGAAGAACCTTGTCTGGGATTTCAACACATCCTCTGCACGAGAGGTACGTGGCTGCTACTAAATGAAACCCAACTCCCCCTCCGAGCATGCCCTTCTCAGTGATGTGCATTCCCAAAACTCCCCCAGCATCACTTCGCCTTTTGTCAGGACCCTCAGCCAACGCGACCCACGGCCAAGATCAAGAGCAACAAGAGATGTCTTACCTGAGAGCCCCCCAGGGGCTAGACAATTAGTTCCCCCTGTTTCAGTGGAGGAAGGCACAGAGTCTGGACAATCTGCTGGAGCAGAGGGGAAAAAAAAAAAAAAAGAAAAAAAAAAAAGTCAGTATATAGGTGGTTCTTTGCAGGCTCCCAGCATCGCCCCAAGCAGAACACGCATTCCAAAGGGCTTAGCAGGAAGCGATTACTAATTGTCCGTGCAGAGACGGTAGTTCATCAAGAAGCATCCACCCTAACTTGTTGTCTCAGTCAAGGCTGTGCTTCATCACCAGCCAGCTCTGATTATAGACTGGCAGAAATTACAGGCTGGCTGCCACCTCTCTGGACAAGTCACCGGCGAAGGAGATCAAGGTTGTCGCCGTTCTGATGTAAGCGAGCTTCCAAAAATGCTTAAATCGTGGCTTTATGCACCCAATTTAGCCAAAACCTGTAGCTCACCAAAATGGGAACCGAAAGGGAAATGTCTCATTGCTGTCCTTTTGCAGTGAACGGGCTGAGTTTGTGGTGCCCCGCTCAATTTTTGTCACCACCAGAAGCTGCTGCCAGACCTTATTGCCACCTCCTGGGCAACTGGACCTACTCCTCTGTGCACCACCAAAGGGCAGGGTAAGACTGGCTGCTCCATTAGAGGTTTCTCCCGATGCATGCAGGTGCTGGAGATCAAGGTTTGGACCTCTCTATCCTAAGCCTGCTCCTTCAGGTGACAACAGTCAGAAGACAACACCAATCTCCTGGTCCTACAGACCAGCTCCAGCTTTTTGGTCACTACCATGTGGGACCACAAGCTGAAGAACAAGCCTGGGAAGACCTGTGAAGTTCATGAAAACTTCTGGTCCTCAGGGACTTCGTGTTTCACCAAATTTGGGCTCTTTATGCCCTCATTTCACTCACATCTGTATCCCAAAGCAAGGGCCAATACCAGGAGAGCGGAGATGATTTTCTCCCTACTGATAAAGCAATTCTGCCAGATCCCACCCCTGAAATACCAGTGAATAAGAAATTCCTGTCTGCACAACCTCATTTTATCAGAGTAAAGTAAAAGCCCTAACAGGAATATACAGTTTAACAGGATATACTTAATCAAACTGAAAACAATAGAGGAGACAGGAAATAGACTTACTTGTGAAATACTGTATATGATACGCTCTCTAAATGCCTCGTCGTGCTTTCTATGCTTTAAAGAAATAGGGGTTTTACTTTTTTTAACCCGTTATAGTCCAGACAGGAGACTCCCCAGCCATTCCCCTGTGCTGGCTTCAACTCCTTGATCTATAGATGCTTTCTGAACACAGGCTGGACCACTCCTCTGCCCTGTGCTGGGCTCCCTGTGCCTGCAGCTACAGCTCCCTGAGGAGTTGCTATGGATAAGGGACATAATTGGTCCTCTCCATACTGTCTTGCTGTAGAGATTGTACGTGACCAGGTCCTCTGTAATCACATCAGGCAGGACAGAATCCCATCCAAACTTCAAACACATAACCCTAGCAATGGGGGGATGTGCTTCCATGCTTCCTCCTCAGCTCCCTTCCCATGTCCCATCACCCAAAAGATAAACTCCCCTCATCCATGAATCACCCCCTGAACTCCCTTTCCAAAACCCAGAGCTGGTGCAGCTCAACTCTAGACCAACCACGAGAGTCAGGAGTGGGATGAGCCCAAAGGCAGAACCCTCGCGGGGTCTCTGCCCTGTGTGTGGCTGGATTCACTACTGCACTCACCCACAGAGCTGCCCAGGGCTCTTGCTTGCAGCAGGCACTGGGACTCCTTTTACCTTCAGCACCAGAGGGGTGGCAGGACCAGACGTTTGTCCAAGCCTGGAACACATCAATCTCCTCCCAACACCGCCTTCCCACAGCATAAAACCATTGCGGAGACACACAATTATTCCTTGTGGCCACCAGCCCAACCTTGCAAGGTGTCAAATAGCTCCTGGGAGCTGCCAAACCTCCAGCTCCCCTGAAAGCTGACACCACAGGAGGGCTTTCGGCCCCGAAGCGACATCTCAGTGAGTTTCCTGCACTCTCATACACCAGCACCACCAAGCCCAGTCCCGCAGGAGCACAACAGAGACACTTGCAGCCCCTCTTGTCCCACTTAAAGCTGAGTCAAAAATCTGCCTGAGTTATTTGAGGGCACAACTATCCACCTCGCTTTCAGCACAGCTGCAAGTGGCTGCTGGACACAGTTCCAGCAGGGACATCAGGAATGCTGAGTGCCCACACACCTCCATCATCCATCCCTGCCAATGTCCCCTGTGGCGGAGAGTGAAAGTCCTCTCCTGACAGAAGTCCTCCCCATCCCTGGAGGTGTCCAAGACCAGGCTGCAGGTGGCTTCTGGGATTTTATGAATGAGCAAGCCGGGCTGACCCACAGCTTTCCCTCAGGTAGCTCAGCCATCAAGGGCAGATCTTTCTGTTCTACAAGAAGTATACAAATACCAGATCTATTCTACCAACACAGATGTGGCATTTCATTGCCTGCAGTGGATTCCCAGCTCCTTGTCCATCCCTGTTTTCCTCCAGCCTGCCAGGCAGCCTGTCTCAGCCTCCATCACCTCCAGAAAAACCAATTTGATCCCCATTGGTTAAGGGTTTTAAACAAGATTCAAGAGAGAAATGGTTAATGATGGCACAGGTTACCCAGAGAGACCATAGATCCCCCACCACAGAAACATTTAAGGTCAGTCTGGATGGACTCAGCAACCTGGTCTAGTTGAAGCTGAAGCAGGAATTTAGGGTCTTTAGGGTCCTTTCCAACACAAACTGGTTTTTGATTCTCCGACCTGATGATCTCTGCCAGAACCCACACCAGTCCAGGTTTATTATCTGCCTGTCTCTCCATATGAAGCACTTGTAAGACATGGCACTTAACACCTGAAAAACTTTTACCACCACTATCATGCTTGATGGAAGCATGACAGAAGATGGAAAAGCGGAAGTTTCCTGCTGGATGCACATTCCCAGCTCCACTGGCAGAGCCTAAACACAGGCACTGCTCCCACCCAAGGTCCCAGGTGAGAAGATGGCTGATGGGCATCAGCCAGGTAAAAAATCTTCACACCTTCCCACAGTTCTCAACATGCAGCTGGGGAGCTGCCACAGGAGATGGCACCAAGGCTGGGACGGGAAACCCTGAGTCCCCCTGCAGAGGAAATGCTGAGAAACCCTGAGCTTGCAAAACCCACCTGCCACCACAGACATCCAGGCTCCACTGGTGCCTGTCACAGCCCCGTTAGTCAGAGCTCAGCTGCCAAGTGGATTTTTCTTTCAAAAAGGAAAAAAAAGGAGGACTTTTTGGTGAGTAACCCAGTTGTTTCTGTGTTTCCGATGGGCAGCGTTAATCACTTCCTATTGGCCGATAGGAATAACTTTTCCTTTCGGAATGGCACATTCATGTTCTGCGGCTTTTCTGTTTACACACATTTTGCTACCTTATGTCAACACTTGCTAATGAATAAATATATCATTCGGCTAACTGAAAATGAGATCCTGGCAGAGGCAGATTGGATGTTTAAATCCTGCTAATAGATTTTATCCTAACATCTTTACAGGAAACCAAAACCAAGCATTAACCCTTCTCTCCCGCAGCTCCAAACCCCTTTGCATCCCATGCCATGATCATCAATGAGTGCAGAGGAAAGCCATAAAGGCAAAAAAAGGAACTTTTGGGGGAGCACTGCAGGGATGCAAAATTATGCTAAACCCCCAAAACTTTATGATCCAGCAGACCCTCAGTCTGTTACAGAACAACCCTTCTGCATCCCGGCACATGGTCAGGATGCTGAACCTACTCCCAATGTCCCTCCTTCATTCATGAGCCCTTATCTCCTATTTTTTTCACACCAAGGCAAGATAGCTCAGGCTTTGCAACCCAATTGTTTGTTAAACAGTTTTGTTTATTTCCGCAAGGCAAAAAAAGACTTATTAGTGTTCCCAAGAGTTTGCAGAGGGTGAGAACAACAGTCCAGCCTCAGAGGGAGCAGCTGGCAGGATGAGACCCCACTACCGCACCAAAGCAGCCTCGAGGCTGGGGTTTCTTTTAGCCCTGGGACCCTGAGGAGAGGTAATTTTACAGACACTGCTCTTTCGGCCAAAAAACCCCAACCAAAAAATCTGGTACTGATCTTCTGGAGCATCTATATATCTACCTTTGCTGCCCTGCAGAGCTGTGCCTCCTCTGTCTGCCGAGACCGACCGACCGCGGACACAACCACAGAGACCACCGTGCTCCAGCCCACTCCAGAGCCACTAATCCTCAGGAAGCCAGGAGCTGCTCCTCCCGAGCTGCTCGTGTTTCCGACTCTCCCCACCTCTCCTCCTTCTCCCAGCCTCATTTATCTCACACCCGGCGAGCTCGCTGCCAACCAAGAGTTTATGCAGACAACCGCAAAAGAGCTGGTGCCAGCCTCAAATGGGCTTCTCCCCTGGCACCCTGACATTCAATTACAAGCAACAGGCATGCACAGTGGTGCAGAGAAATTTAAATTTAAAAAAGGTTAAAAAAACAACTTTTCAAACTCTTTTCCCATTTATTTTTTTAGCCTGATGAGGTAGGATTAGGCTCCTATAAAACTTAGATTTCCAACGAACCAGTCCATCTGTCAAGGTTCACTGGGATTCCCAGGCATCAGGGAGATGCTGTGCTGGATCCCAACCTAAATCCCTAAAAATTCACACAGGGGTGCAGAAGCACTGCCATTTCCAACTGGAGCCTATGGTTTTCCTGGCTGACTCAAGCAGAGCAGGCCTGCGCTGCACTGCAATCCCTTCTGAAGTTCCCTGCCAGAGTTTTAAAATCCTACTTTTTGCACAAGGTGGTTTAGATAAATTATATGTTAATTTTTACAGGGATAGCAGGAGGCAGAGAAGCACACAAGCAACCCAAAAGCAAAACGCATGACAAAGGCAGGAGGCTGTTTTCCCTGATAAAGGGGCTGTTTTGCCATTTTTTATCTCTTACACTTGCACTGAAAGAAGTCCACTTACCAGTTGGTTTGAGAAAATCCATTGGATATCTGGAGTAGGGTGGAGGGGGAGACTCTGGAATTAGAGAAGTACAGAGAAAATAAAGGCAGAGCCATGAGAAAGAAAAAAAAAAAAAGAAAAAAGATAGGAACTTATGATAACAGTGGCATTCTTTTAGCAAAACTGTTTGTCTTAGCTCTGGGGGTTGGAGGCAGGGCAGCGAGGCGGTGATTGCCTTGATATTTAGCTGTCAGATAAACAAAAGGGGCCGTCTGGCGCCAGTCTCCCTGCTATCTGCCGCTCGGGCTGTCTGATCGGGGCCTCCTTGGCTCGGAGGAGCCGCGGCAGCGCCGGGGCCGCCCGGCCCTTAATCCCCCGGCACCGCGCGGGGACGGCGGGGAGGCAGCGCCGGGGCCCCCGGGAAGGGAGGGGGTCCCGGAGGTGGGGTCGTCGCCCCCTCCCCTAAATACAAAAGGAAATGCATAAACCACGGCAATGGAAAGTTTCTGTGCGTGTTCAGGGTTTTGTTGTTTGTTGTGGGTTGGTTTTGTTTTGGTTTTTTTTTGTTTTGGTTTTTTTTCC